GTGTTAGTATGTTGATTAGTGGAGTAAGGTTTGTATTGTTCTTGTTTGAAGGTTTCTAGGTGTTTAATGGAGTCTTTGGGAATGATTAGAGGTCATTGAGGGTTTTATGGTGAAATTGTTTGGGTGTTAGTATGTTGATTAGTGGAGTAAGGTTTGTAAATGGTGTAGGAGATTGAAAGAGTTTGTTTGTAGAAATGGAGATTGAAAAATGGGGAATGTTGGAGAGTATATTTATATTTTAGAGCATTGTTTTTATTTGGAGGTTTCTAAGTGTTTGATGAGGTCTTTGGGAATGATTGTAGGTCACTGAGGGTTTTATTGTGAAATTGTTTTAGTATTAATATATTGATTACTGAACGAAGGTTTGTAAGTGCAATAGAAAGTTGAAGAAACTCCTCTGAAGAAATGGAAAGTGAAATGTTGCTTGATACAGGACAGTGTTTGTGAAACTTCACTGGTTAAGAGATTATCTTCTACGATTATCCTGCAAGAATCCTAATTAATAACTGTATTCTATCGCTGTTTGCTTCTTTTCCATCTTTAACTACCTATTTTTATCTTCTGTCCCTATTTCTATTTAACTACCGATTTCGTCACCAGTCCTTTAAAAGCACGAGTCACGAGCGAATAGACGGTTAAATATTCATCTGTATCTAGCAAAAACCGTTTATCCAGTACGCATCTATGTTTCTCTTTTTATTTCTAATTAGCCTCTCCTTTCACCGTGCGTTCTTATGAACGCGGGCTCCGGCGAGCAGAAGTTTAAATATTCATCGCTGCCTAGCAAAAAACATCTGTCAGTCGTGTGTCTGCAATAAATATATTCCTGCTTAATTCCCTCTTTCATCATCGGCTCTCGAAAAAAACGGGTCGGGAAAAATAGAGATTTAAATATTCAGTTCCATCTGGCAAGAAACTCTATCTATAACATCTTTATTATTCTACACATTATTATTGCATCTTATCAAAATATTGCTAAAAGTATCAATTTGATTTCTATAATTCATACAATAGCATATCGCGCAAAGTTCAATGCTAATTATCAAACTTCATCGTGTCGTATCAAATCAAGCGGCGACTCAACGTTTATTCAAGTTGCAACGAAATTTCATCGAACAGTCGTAAACGGAACAAGATTCTCCTGTTGCAGAAGTCTCCGTTGCTCGCAGAATTCTTTAACCCTTTGCACTCCAAAAATTTGTCGCTAGAAATATTCAATTTATTTCAATCAGATACAGATGACATTTTTTCCAACTAACTGGGACGAGATTTTGTTTCCAAACGTATTTTATTTCCACATTAATTTCGTATTAATGTCAAATTTTATAATGTCGATGCACCAATCGAGTGGTGACCGCGAGGCACCTTTCGAGTGGAATGGGTTAACAGGTCGCCGGAGAGTTCGGAAGCCCGGGATCACCGCGAACGCGTCGATATTTTCTGATTGCAGATTCAGGTCGATCCACTGCCATCTGTTCCCCCACGTGGCCAATTGTCCGCACAGATGATGAGCAGCCGGCTGAGGAGGCCGCGTCGTCCCGGCGTCGACGAAGAGAAACGGGGGCGGGAGGGCCGATGATCGATCACGATCCGGAGCCACCGTCCAGGTCCTCGGATCCAGACTTCTTTCCGCTTCGCCGCGTTTCTCGTCGCGTTTGCGCGTTTCTCGACGCGCTCAACGTACCTCGTGACTTCGTCGATATTGCCTTGATGCAGGAACAAACTCTGTTACACTGGAGACGCTCGGAATTTAACCGTTAACGATCTGGAAATATTCATCGTGCTCTTCGATCGTTGAAACGATGTTTTCTTTTAGGAAGTATTAGTGGAGCGATTCGATTATTTTGTAGAAATATGTAGAAGCTTCGGAAGATGAAGCTGAATTATATGATCGGTTAAACGGTGGAAGTGTACCGATCTCTTGCTGTTTCAGTAATTAACATTAAAGCTACCGAGAAATTTAGACTTTTTGAAAATTCTCCATTGAAGCTGAATTATATATCGATCGGTTAAACGGTAGAACTGGAATCGTACCGATCTCTTGCTGTTTCAGTAATTAACATTAAAACTACCGAGAAATTTAGACTTTTTGAAAATTCTCCATTGAAGCTGAATTATATATCGATCGGTTAAACGGTAGAAGTGGAATCGTACCGATCTCTTGCTGTTTCAGTAAATAACACTAAAACCGAGAAATGAAGTTGACTCTTTGAAGATTCTCGATAGAAGCTGAATTATATGTCGATCCGTTAAACGGCAGAAGTGGAATCGTACCGATCTCCTGCTGTTTCAGTAATGAACACTAAAACCAAGAAATGAAGTTGACTCTTTGAAAATTCTCCATTGAAGCTGAATTATATATTGATCGGCTAAACGGTAGAAGTGGAATCGTACCGATCTCCTACTGTTTCAGTAATTAACATTAAAACCACCGAGAAATGAAGTTGACTCTGAAAATTCTCCATTGAAGCTGAATTATATATTGATCGGTTAAACGGTAGAACTGGAATCGTACCGATCTCTTGCTGTTTCAGTAATTAACACTAAAACCACCGAGAAATTAAGACTTTTTTAAGGTAAGGGTTGAATCTGAATACGATACTTTCATTCGACAATACGCAATTGTTACGATTGATCGATGATCTACTTACAATGAAATCATTGCTATCGTCCCAGATACATCAGTTCATTGTTCACTTGCCACACACTTATGAATTCACACAATTAGAATATAATGACGTCGGTAAGGGTTGAATCTGAATACGATACTTTCATTCGATAATACGCAATCGTTACGATTGATCGATGATCTACTTAGTATGAAATCATTGCTAGCGTCCCAGACACATCAGTTCATTTTTCACTTGCCTTTTGTCTGCATCAACGCAATATTTTCGCGCGACGACGAATGGTTGCCCGCAGGAGCTAATTATTTTTCTTCCTCGTCCTTCGAGCGAGACGCGTAAACGATCGATCGAGGGGATCGCGGCGGTCCTCTTGCTCGACGGTCGATAGGCTTTAATTTTCAATTAAGTTCGCAGATGATCCAGGCGGCTCGTCTTTGTACGGGCCACGAGATGGAATTTGTTCGTCGATCGGGTAAACCGCGGGAGAGGTTTCCCCGTCGTCGAGAGTTTTACGGTATATATAGATTCTTGTATATATATATAGGGAGGATCGATCGAGCCTTTCATATTTTATTTTGTACATAACGGGTAAGACACCCAAGGCAGGTCGCGGCTCGAGAGGACGCAGGGAATCTTCGTTCGAACGAATCGACTGGGATAGAACAATTATTTGCTCGCTTGGGCGTTTCGCACCCGTGTCACGTATTATGTATTGTGAACATTGAAAATTTAATGTACAGTATGTGCACATTAGGTGTCTTGGAATTAAACGTACGGAAACTGTAATGAATTTCAGGCGTCTGCGAGAGTGATCCACTATGATGCAATATAGTCTCGATTAGGAAATGTTTGTTTGATATAAATTTTTGGATATAGGTGTTTGAGGTTTTTAAGAGTATTATGTTTTTGGGGGACGAAGAATTTGAAAATGTCTCTGAAATTAGTATTATTCGAGTATTGTAGGTGTTTGAGTTTCGAGGATGTAGAATTTTTGGAAAGTTCTACATTTGTGATTGATATTCGAATGTTAGATGTTTGAGTTGTTTCGGGAACGTAGGATTTTTGATAAATTAAACATTATTGCGATATTATTCGAATATCGTAGATGCTTGAGTTCCGAGAATATAGAATTTTTGAAAAGTTCAATATTCTTGCGATTAATATTCGAATATTGTAAATGTTTGAGTCGTTTCGAGAACGTAGAATTTTTGATAAATTAAACATTATTGCAATATTATTCGAATATTATAAATCTTTGATTCGTTCCAAAGAGAATATAGAATTTGAAAGAAATTGAAGGAACATTTTTCCAATATTATTCGAATATCGTAGATGCTTGAGTTCCTAGAATATAGAATTTTTGAAAAGTTCATTTGCGATTGATATTCGGATATTAGATGTTTGATAAATTAAACATTATTGCAATATTATTCGAATATTATAAATCTTTAAGACGCTCCGAAGAAAGTATAGAATTTCAAAAGAATTTAAGGAACATTTTCCCAATATTATTCGAATATCGTAGACGTCCGAATCGATTCGAGGATATAGTTCTTCAAGAATAAGGAAATAGATCCAGTGGATTATTTATTGGTGCATTGGACAGACGAGCGATGCGCCGAGCGTGTGTACGTGCGTTAGAATATAAATTATTCGGAAGGTTGCTGGAGCGCGGGCGAAGCGAGGCGACGCGTGAGAAATGATTTTTTAAGGAGCTGAACGTGTGCAAATATTTCTTTTATCCGGCGAGTGTGTGTGTGTGGCGTTCGTGGCGATTGTACCATATGACGAGAGATGCAAGGAACATTTGGCGACGCTTCTCGCCGCCGCGAATCGAAATTACCTTAAGCTAGTCTCTTGCGCGGGGAAGCCGATGGCCGTACAATGTGATATTTAATGGGTGCGAGTGGATTCGCGATATTGCTTTCGCGCGGGGAACAGGGAATCGGACAGTCACTCGACAAAAATAATCATTAGCTTCCGAACAAAATTCTCAAAATTCTCAAAATCTCAAAATTCTCACAATTCTCACAATTCTCACAATTCTCACAATTCTCAAAATCTCAGATCTCTATTTTAACGAATATTCATTTGAAAAATTTGATTTTAGAGTCAATTCCTTGAAAATCTGTTGGTCCACTATTCAATTACGAATTTGCAATGCAACGAATGTTTGAAAACTAGAATTTCAATAATACGAAATGTAGATATGAAATCTACCGTTCGGTGAGATCGAGAGTTTCAATTGTTTTTAGTATAACATTTGTGGAAGAAGATTTCGCTGTATTGAATTTTCTTATTTTTTATTCTTTAGCCTTAAAGAAGTATTAAAAATAAGAAGATAAGTAAGGTTGTGTGCGAGGTTATTTTCCGTTGAAATGAATCTTCGTTTGCGCGAATCCGATTAGACGGAACGAGTTTCCCGTCCGATTCCCGATTGTTCCCGTTCTCTGTGCTGTCGATCGAATCAGTGTGCAATATTGAGAGAAAGAGAGTGAGAGAAATAAAACTGTCGTTCGTGGGTTAGCAGCTCGCAGTCGGATTAATTGTTTGCCTTTCCCGGCGGAGGATCCCGCGGGGAAAAATCTCGGTGTGAACGCACCTGTTGCGCGAGAAAAACGAGCGGAAAGAGGAGAGCCGTGCGGCATCGCCGAGTGGAATCGGCGGGCACGGTTGTAACGTTGTAACAATGATGTTTTATATAATACACGATATTCCATATCACACGCGCGTCTACCTTTTCGTTGGATTGTTCTCATTGTTCCGTGGAAAATCGGCTCCCTGTTTCCTGTTTCCTTGTTGCCTGGAAAACAATCGTTTTATTTGCGTCGATGTTCAGGCGTTTTTAATACGTTGAATCGAATTACTATAATTCACTAATTAAACGATGATTATTTTCAAACATTTCTATGTTATAAATAATGCCATCCATTGCGGTGACAGTTTGATGAACGTGAACATGTTCAGGAGTTTTTAACACGTTGCAAATCTTCCAAGCAAATTGAACTACTATAATTCACTCGATTAAACGATGATTATTTGCAAACATTTCTGTTATAAATAATGCCATCCATTGTGGTGACAGTTTGATGAACGTGAACATGTTCAAGCATTTTTAACAGGTTGCAAATTCCCTAAGCAAATCGAATTACTATAATTCACTCAATTTAACGATGCTTATTTGCAAGTGTTTCTATATTATAAATAATGCTATCAGTGCTATAATGCTATAAATAATGCTATGAAATCAGTGGTGTATTTCTATACTTTTGTCGAGTTATATTTTTCATATGTTTTGTATTTATACATTCATTATTTTCTTAATTATTGTTATTCAAGGCATTTCAACGTTATGAACCGTCGATATTTTACTTTCCGCAGAACAAGGACGTCCCTTTGAACCAGAACATTTGTCCTAGTACCTCCATCTGTACCGATCCGAGCGAAAGTGTTCCGGAAGTCGGTAAAGTTGCTCTCCTTGCTCGTCGTCCTGAATATCCTGCACTCAACACCTGTAATCACGCAATACTCCGTCCCAAATTCGATTTTAAGTAGTAATAAATGAATTACAAATGACACTGATGCTCTTTGACACGAAGAACGAGCCGACGATTGGTAACATCGATCGAGTCATCGTGCGTACTGTGCATCGGTCAAGAAGGAACTTAAAGGTAAGTCAGGAATTGATGAAATGTTACTAGAATCGCTCGGAATCACTAGAAACGAGATTTCTCACCAGAGCTAGGATATTTTTCTCGAATCTAGTGTTTTCCTGGAATTGTCACTAGACGAGGCAACTGGAAAAGTTACTAGATAGAATTTCAATATTTAATTTCTGCATTCCTAAGTCCAGATCGTTGAGAAAAATTTTACAAGTAATTGTACAATAAACAGAATATAATATTGAGACTAATATAATAATAGAAAGAATAAGAAGAATAATTAAATTAATTATTCCTTCAAGTAATTGTACAATAAACAGAATATAATATTGAAACTAACATAATAATATCTCGGCGAAGAAACGCACATATGAATGAAACTAGTGTCGAGTCTCGACGTAGCAGCGCAAAGGGTTAACATTAACCCCTTTCACTCGGAAGCTTTTCACTAGAAACATTCACTTTCCAAGGAGACATAGACGACGCTATTTGAAACGACCTAATGAGAAATACGTGAATTTGGATCTGTGGAAAATAGTATGATTCTAGGCTAGTTTCTTTAAAAATCATTAAAATACTTAATACTATAACTGGTGCAATATTGGAACCTACCGAATTCAAAGGATCAATTTATATATATTTCCTCATTAATTAGTTTCAAAGAACATCCTCTGTATCTCATCGAATATTGAATATTTCTAGTGAAAAACTTTCGAGTTCAAGGGTTAAAACCTCCAAGCGCAAGGAAGTTGAAAATTCGAGAATTCCAATTGGAATCGAAACACCCTCGATATTCTTCGGCCAAGGTGTTCCACGGGAAAGCTGATTCGATGGTTATTGACGTGGCAATTTACTAGCGCGGCACGTTTAATATACGAAGGTTCTGCCGCGTAAGCGGACGTATTTACTACTCGCCGCGAAAAAGCAGAATTCCGGGGCGCGATGGGGGATGGTCTCGTTACGTATCGCGGCCGGGGTTATCCCTCGCGATTCGCAGACACGCGCCATATACGATCCATATGCGGGCGAAGTGTACATTACCGGGATACATGGGCCTCGCGCATATTTACTCGAGACTCCTCGCAAAAATTTATTCCCCCGCCCGCCCCTCGCGCCCCTCGCGCCCCTCGCACCGCCCCCGTCGAGTTATTCTCGCCCCAGTATCGCCGTTCTATCTGCCAGCGTTCAAATTTCTCGAGGAACGAACCCCCTTGATACTAGACCGGAAGTGCATCCACCGGGAAGCTCGGGAACCGAGATGAAAGCGCGTTTGAGACGCAGTATTTTGTGAAAATTGCGAAACGGGGCTGTTCGAGTTGTAACCTTTGAATTATTAATTTTAATCTTGACTCTTTGAATTTGTTAATATTTGATTTGATAATAGGATCGTATGGTAGAGTGTATAATTTTATGGCTAATGAAATAGAGGAATTAGTACCTTATTTACAAAGAGAATTTGGGAAAAACATGTATAGCTTGATTCGACAGTATTCGAGAATGAACATTGTGTTTTGCATAAGTTTTCTTTGTAAACTAATCAATTCCCCTGTTTCATTATTGGCCATAAAATTATTTAATACTAAAGACAGAATTTCAGAATGTTTAGCTTGCTAGTATTTAAATGATGACAAGATTAGAAATATGCTGTCCTAATTTTGATGAAAAGTTAGGAATAAATCACCCTAGTTGCTCGGTAATTTGAGTATTAACCCTTTGACGAACGTCGACACTTCGACGAGATGAAATGTTCATATTTGGAAGACTAAGTCGCCGACAAATGATTTAATTACTGGAATAGCAAGAGAGCAGCGCGTAGTTACCCTTTTTTCTATTAACCCTATGCACTTGATTTAATAGAGTAAAATTATAAAGTCATATATGATATTAAGCTTTGTATAATGCATCGATACGTGAAATATTCGAATAAAATTGTTTCTTGATTTATATATGCTTTCTCATTGGTTGCTTTCAAACGTCCTTTACATCTTACTAAAAAACGTTGAATATTTCTAATGAAAAACTTTCGAGTGCAAAGGGTTAATTAAGCAACTGATATACAATTCATGTTCATCTCTCGAAGGTGTCGTATATTTCAAAGAATCTTCGTCAAATGGTTAATTATCTATACACCAGGAAAAATGAATTTCGTCTGTCACGTAACATTCGTTCAAATATAATTTCCTCCGTTCATTTCGTGTTCTCCAGCGGTCGTTCGTTTGTTCCGTTTAATTAACGGCGACAATAACGGTTGTCCGCGTCGTAAACGAAAGGTGACGTTGTCATTCTCGCCGGGCCACCCGGTAGAACAGTCGCTCGATTGGCCGGAACGGTGGCACGCTCGAAATTGCAACCGGATAAGTATTTGCCGGATGCAGTCAGACGCGAACGAAAGTTTCCCAATAAAAGATGTTTATGTCGGCCGACGGATAGACGATCCTCGTGGCCCGTTTCCATCCGGCCAGCCATCGCGCGGAAATATTCCAAAGAAATTTTTAGGCCGGCCGCGAGACGTTGATCCGACGCTCGTCTCTCGTCGAATATTTATGAGTGCTCGAAAAGAGCGCGACGCTACGCGACGCGAATACGGAGACAATAGAAATTTCCCCTGCGCATTCTTCCGCTCGTCGCGACGCAGCGTTCCGAACATTGTCGGCTGACGCTGATCCTCGGACACGTTAGAATAATATCATTAACAATCGTCCCGTGGAATATCCCTGTGTTTGCGAGACGAAACTGAGACTGCGACAAGAGGAAGTGACATTTTTGGAAACTTTTATTTTGTGCATTATTTGTGATACTGGAGATATGATATTGAATATTTTGAAATAAGAAGATCCAATGAGGAATCTTCTTTCTTTTGAATATATCAAATTATTTCTATTTTTTGATGATTGATTTATAGAGATTGGAATTACCGTTAGATAATCAACGCATAGAAATTGGAATCGATTTTTAAATGATTAATACATACACTTTGAAATCTAATATTGAAATCTAATATTGAAATCCTGAAGTCATTTCCAGTTTTTAATAATTGACTCATTCAGATTAGAATTATCGATAGATAATTAGCGCGTAGAAATGGGAATCGACTTTTAAATGATTAATACATACACTTTGAAATCTAATATTGAAATCCTGAAGTCATTTCCATTTTATAATAATTGACCCATTCAGATTAGAATTATCGTTAATCAACGCGTATAAATTAGAATCCACGTTTAAACGACCACCGCGTATAGTTCGAAACCTAACATTGAAATCTACATTTAAACAATCCCCGCGTCGAATGATTTAGTTATCGATTCGCTTGGTAATATTTCAGTAGAACTAGGACGTAGACTGCGGGCTGAATTTAAGTAGTGGAAGTTTCATTAATAATTTATTCAGGAAACGATGTCACAGAGCAAAGTACCGTCGCGTGAATTCAATCCACGATCGTTCCGTTGTTTTTCTGTTCCTCTGTTATCTCCGGCAGGCACCGCGGAAATTATATATCGCGCGTAATCGGACCTAACCGTCGGGTTTTCGAGGGTGGCTTCCCCGGGAGCAGTCGCCGTTCTTTCCCGGTGACTCCATTCAGAAAGAAAAAGGATGCGCCTCGGTTGCAGCCTCTTACGTCATCGGCTGCGACCGGGGGTGGCAGATAAAGGGGGATGATGTAAGAACAGGGCTGGCTCTAATGCCTTCCGCACCCCCGACGATGTTCCTCTAACTAGAAATTTTCACCCCTTTCTATCAAGTATATTCATATTTGGAAACAATACAGTCATCTCGCAATTAACACTGGAACTACCGAGCATTTCACCCTTTGAACTCTGTAGGCTCCAGTATCTTAAAGAAACTATAATTATTAGATTTTTCACACATACAAATTTTGTAATAAGAAGGAAAATGAAAGATCTAAGAAACGTTATAGCATTCTTCATTTCTGCTATGGACACTATAAAAATTAGTTCCAGTCGCTGATAGATTAGATAGATAAAAATTGTAATAACAGATTATTGATATCTTCAAAGCATTGAATATTCGGAATGATCTTGAAAATAAATAGTTTCACTTGAACTATAACGAATGTCTGAAGAAACCGAAAATAATCTATTATCACAATTTTTACAAAGATTGCATACCAATCGTGTTAACCCTTTGCACTCGTGACGTCACAAAATTACATAACAAAATTACACAGTGTTACATATAATATTAAGTT